GCACACCCATGTTCATTGCAGACCTGTTCCCAACAGCAGAAAGATGGAGACAGCCTAAATGCCCATCAATGGAAGAATGGATAAACACGCTCTAGTACATACACACAGTAGAATACTACGCAACATTGAAGAGTCATGAGGAATCTGTGAAACTCCTCACAACGTGGATGAACCTGGAGGACATTATGCTGAGTGAAATTTGTCAATCACAAAAGGACAAATACAGTATGAGACCAACATTGTAAGAAGTCAAGAAAAGGTTTTCATACTAAAAGAAACATTCTTGGATGGTTAATCAGGAGAGGGAAGAGAGAGTAGTAACTCACTGGCTAGCGGGTGGTGGTGGTGATGTGCCGTGGAGTTTGTTCTGACACATAGCGACACTGTACAGAGTTTCCGAGGCTGTAAAACTTTACGGGAGCAGAAAGCCTCATCTTTCACCCGCAGAACACTTGGTAGTTTCAAACTGCTGACCTTGAGGTTAGCAGCCCAACTCATAACCACTACATGTGTTGACTTGGATGACAGGGAGGACAATATATAACAACACTAGTAAGATACAAGGAGTCTGGTGTGGCATCATAGGATAAGCACTTGACCTCGAGGTCATTTTGAACCACAAGGTTGGTGGTTCAAACTCATCAGCCACTTCTCGGAGACCCTATACAGGGTCACTATGAGTCAAAACTGACTCAATGGCCCTTAACAACAACAGTAAGATGAGCTCGCTTGGAATGGTAACAATAAAAAAGTAGGTGGGGGGAGAAGTGCACAGTCTAGTGGAGGAGACAGAACTCTACAACGTGCTCTGTGTTGTGAATAAAGCACTTGTGTTGTTAAGTGCCGTCGAGTCGGTTCCAACCCATAGCAACCCTGTACAGGGTTTCCGAGGCTGTAAATCTTTACGGGAGCAGAAAGCCTCATCTTTCTCCCACAGAGCGGCTGGTAGTTTCTAACTGCTGACCTTAAGGTTTGCAGCCCGATTCATAACCACTACGTTGTTGTTGTTGTCAGGTGCCACCGCGTTGGCACCGACTCATAGCGACCCTATGCACAGCAAAAAGAAACAATGTCCGTTCCTGGGCCAACCTCACTACCGCTGCCACACTTGAGTCCATTGATGCTGCCACCCGGCCAATCCATCTCGTTGGGGGTCTTCCTCTTTTGATCTGACCCTCCATCTTACCAAGCATGATATCATTCTCTAGCGACTGTTCCCTCCTGACAATATGTCCAAATTATGAGAGATGAAGTTTGGCCATCTTGGCCTCTAAGGAGCACTCTGGCTGCACTTCTTCCAAAACAGATCTATTGGTTCTTTTGGCAGTCCATGGCACTTTTAGTATTCTCCTCCAACACCATAATTCAAAGGCATCAATTCTTCTACAATCTTCCCTATTCACTGTCTAGCTTTCATATCCATATGAGGTTATTGAAAATACCATGTCTTTGGTCAGGCGCACCTTAAGTCCTCAAGCTGACATCTTTGCTCTTCAACACTTTAAAAAGTTCCTGTGCAGCAGATTTGCCTAATGCAATATGTTGTCTGATCTCTTGACTGCTGCTTCCATGAGTGTTGATAGTTCATCCAAGAAGAATGAAATCCTTGACAACCTCAATCTATTAGAGTGTTTGAAATAATTACTGCAGCTTAGAGAAGAGGTGGCAGTTACAACAGCCCATGAAGGATGAGGTGTTCTACCAAGTGGAGAGAGAGAAAAACGTGTATGTAAAGACACGGAGGAAGACAAGGTCACGGTGTGTCACAGAACAGGCCCCAAGAGGCTGGAACGCTTGGCCCACGACGAGGGTGAGACAGAAGCCAGTGACACCAGCCTGGGCACGTTGAGCCTAGCTCTGATTGTCCATGACAGTGTGACAACGCTGAATTTTACTCAAGCTTTTTGTGTCTCCTGGAGAAAGTTTACTATGAACAACTGAGGAAATGCATGTCATAATCTTCTGTTAAAGAACTTTAGGTGTTCCTTCTTTATCTTCTCAAATCAGGTCCCTTAGGACTTATCACCCCAAAGGGTAAAACACCTCCCCACCCCCACCCCCCACCAACTTCTTTGAAAACGCCCTCTGCCCTCTGCTTCAGGAGAGTGGACACTGGTCTCTCTTCTAATTATGATGTTGTTGCTAAGTGATCTTGAGTCAATTCCGACTCAGTATAGAATTTCCTCAGAGTAACTGGTGAGTTTGAACTGCCGACTTTGCACATTACCCCACGGCATATTACCTCACAGCACCACACCAGGACTCCCAGGCTGGTTCTCTTCTTTTCCACTGCAATGCTCCTCACTCCCCTCCCTTCCCTCAGTCCTTTTTTTTTTAATGTTTTATTGTGAATTACGTGATAGTTTACATGGGAGAACATTAATTATACATTCATCCTATTGTTTCACTGCCATGGTGACAATCCCCTCCATGCATCATCAACCAGCCAACTACAAGCCTGCCCCCTGGTCATCAGCACACTGCCCCTGTCCCTCTCTGGGTCTAAAGTACCCAGCTGCTCCATCTCTCCATGTCATCGTCTCTGCCTCCATCTCAGGCATCACTGCTTCTCTGGTAGGGTCCCGCTCTCCGCTCTTCTCCCTTGATGGTCTCAGGGACCTCTGCTCCTAGACTGCAAAGTTAATCACTTCCCTCCTTGCTACAAAATGTCTACCTTTACATTTCCAACCCTCACAATCAGTCCTGATAACAATTATTCACTATTGTATCACAAAAGACCCATCCGCATTTCATCAACCCTGCCTAGACAGATTGGATATTACTCAGTGGAGATTCTACCTTCCTCCACGCCCTCTGGATCTAGGTTCCCTCTTGAAAGCTTGTAAGCCAGTCACTTCTTGCCTTTGTAGCCCCCCATTTTGGGTAGCCAATGTCCAAGTAGCCCACCCTCAGTCCTTTTTTCCTCCCGTCTTTTCAATCCTCTTCAAATAAAGTCTTCCCTGCTTGTTTTAACATTGTCCGATGCAATTTCTGACAAGTGACAATGGGTGTGAAGGGAGGGCCAATGCAGGTTCACAGGTCACACCGGGGCTCAAAGGTAGGCCCCCACGTAACACCACTATTGCCATGAACCATCAGCATGGATGCAGCCTGGCCCAGCTCCCCAACAATCTCAGAGACAACTTGAGGAGCCTCTGAACACAAGGCCAGACCTTTATGTCACATATTGGGAAATAGCCACAAGGTGCAGGTCAAAAGGACGAGGTCATCCAGCTAAATGTGACAGATAATGATTGCAAACAGGCCTCTGGACTCTTGGTCAAGCTCTTTCCCCTCCCTCTTCCCAAAGAGTACTGAGGCCTTGTGTGGTGCTTGTAAGATAAACACTGAACTGCTAACTGCAACGTTGGCAGTTCAAACCCACTAGTTGTTCTCAGAAACCCTATACAGGGTCGCTATGACTCGGAATTGACTCCACAGTACACAACAACAAAGAGCACTTCACCTTTGAGGAGTTTGTTGTTAAGTGCCATCCAGGCGGTTCTGACTCATGTTATCATTAAGTGCCTTCAAGTTGGTTCCGACTCACAGTGACATTATGGACAACAGAAAGAAACACTGCCCAGTCCTGTGCCAACCTCACAATCATTAAGCTTGAGACCACTGCTGCTGCCATTATGCCAATTTATCTCATTGTGTGTGGGGTGTGTGTGTGTGTGTGTCTGACTCTTTTTCACTGACTTTCCACTTTACCAAGCATGATATTCTTCTCCAAGGACTGGTCCATCCTGATAATACATCTGAAGTATGAGAGATGAAGTCTCGCCATCCTGGCTTCTAAGGAACTTCATTCTGGCTGTACTTCTTCCAACACAGATTTGTTTGTTCTTCTGGCAGTCCACGGTACTTTCAATATTCTCTTCCAACACCTTAACCCCAATGCATCAAATTCTTCTATGGGCTTTCTTATTCACTGTCCAACTTTCACAAGCATATGAAGCTATTGAAAATACCATGGGGCTGGGTCAGGTCCACCTGAGTCCTCACACTGACATCTTTGCTCTTTAAAGAGGTCTTATACAGCAGATTTGCCTAATGTAGTAAGTCACTTGATTTCTTGACAGCTGCTTCCATGAGGCTCATAGTGGATCCAAGTAAAATGAAGTCTTTGACAACTTCAATTTTTTCTCCATTTATCATGATGCTATTTATTGGTCCAGTGGTGAGGGCGTTTGCTTTCTATACATTGAGGTGTAACCCATACTGGAGGCTGTGGTCTTTGATCGTCATCAGTAAATATTTTAAGTTCTCTTTGCTGTCAGCAAGCAAGGTTGTATCATCTGCATATCAAGGTTGTTAGTAAATCTTCTTCCAATCCTGATGCCACGTTCTTCATATAATCCAGATTCTCGGATTATCTGCTCAGCATAGATAGAATAAGGATGATGAACGAATACAACCCTGACACACACCTTTCCTAATTTTAAACCATTCACTGTCCCCTTGTTGTATTCTATTACAACTCATGGGGACCATGCATAGGGTTTCCAAGGAACAGCTGGTAGGTTTGAACCGCCAACCTTTCTGTTAGCAGTCCAGGGCTTATCCTACAGGGTTACACACCAACGTCCCACCAACGTCCCCAATTGTAAAACGGAGAGAAACATCTAGCACTTCATGAAGCCACTAAGAGACAAGGAGGGAGAAGTAGGCGGGGCTGGTTAGCCAGTAAAACTAGAAGCAGGCTGCAAAGGCCCTGGAAATACACTGGGCCTCCTACAAACCCCCTTATCCTTTAGGGACGCGTCTTCACAGTCCCGCCTCCTTCCATCGCCTCTTCCGGTTTTTCCTCTTGGACCCGCCCACCCTTCCGGTCCCTCCTCTCGGCCCGCCCACCTCTCCTAGGCCCTCCCCGAAGGTCGTCTCTCTTGCGGTCCCTCATCTACGCTCGATTCCTTTAGTAGTGCCTTCTCTCGCCATTCTCATTAGCAGAAAATCGTGCCGCCTTTCGGAGCCTGGAGATACGCGCACCTGGGTCCCTGTTCCCGGAAGTGACCCTACAGGCCCGCCCCTGAGGAAGTGACGGCAGCAGTGCCCTTGACGGGCGGGGAGGGCCCGGGTGCATCCCTCCGCTCACGGTGCAAGAGGTAGGCGTCCTGTGTGTAGGGTGGCTCCCGGTGGTGACACGCCTGATGCTCGCTGCGGGAGGACTCCTGCGCTGGCCGGTGACCGAATGGGAAGAGGACCTGGGTGGGGGGGACCTGGCCTTACGGCCAGCCGAGAACCCTGGAAGCGTCCGATTCCTCTGTTGCCTCCCTGCACATGTCCCTCCTCTTTTAGTTCCCCCAACACGCCTGTTCTTGTGCCATTTAGTTCCCTCTTGAATCGTTGGCGGTTCTCCTTCCTGTTCCTTGAACATCCCCATTACAGACACTTTATAATAGAAAAAATAACCGATAGAGCAGGGACCTTGCAGGCAGCCTTGTGTAACAGTGTTAACGCTCATTTAATAGTTGGCTTACTTGGGGCATGTCACTTAACCTATGTGCTCCTCCAATTCCTTTTCTGTAAGGTGGGCAAGATAGCAACTTCGCAAAAGTTGCTGCGGGCGTCTGTAGAGGAGCCATTGTAGCCTGAGATGGGAGCTAGAGGCCTTTCAGGCAAATCTTTGGCAGAGTCTTAGGCTCTGGCAGGACTAAGGCGCCTGTCACTTTGCAGAAGCTCTGTCTTCTCTCTCCTCTCTTCTGTTGTCATTTCCCTTACATCCTGACTTCTTTCTGGTTGTCCACCAAAAGGCTTCTCAATCCTCCCTCACCCCTACTCCAGAAATGGTATGCATTATTTTGTTTGTGTTTCCCTGCATGTCTATGAGCCCCCAGTATTCCCAAACTCCTTTATTTTTCTGTGGTGTTGACTTCTGCCCCTGCTGTTCCTTATTCTTCCCTTCACAGATGGCTCAGCGACTTCTCCTGAGGAGGTTCCTGGCCCCGGTCATTGCTAGGAAGCCCCCTCAGGGTCGATGGGCACCCCTCACATCTGGGGCCCTCCAGACCTCACAGTGCCATCCTGGTGGCCTGGCTGCCACACCCTGCCCAGCCCAGACTATACACACCACCCGTGTCTGTACCACCACCTTTAACATCCAGGATGGGCCTGACTTTCAGGACCGAGTTGTCAACAGTGACACCCCTGTGGTTGTGGATTTCCATGCACGGTGAGTCCTGGGTGGGAGCACAGCACAGAGTGGGGTCTTGTCTCTTCAGATATTTGTTAAGCACCTGCTGTCCCGGGACCGTGCTCAACTGGCAAGGCATCATCGTATTCTCGAGTAGAGAGCAGTCTGGTGGGGACGGCCTATTGTTGACTTCTGTCAGGTTGGCCACCCCATTGTAAACGCTCATGATTGGTTATAGAGCAAACCATGGCCATCCTTAGGGCTTTTATTGGATACTTTCTGGCTGTAAATCACCAGGCCTTTCTTTCTCTTCCACCTTAATCTAAAAACGCCACTGAAATCTTTTCAGCATCGTAGCAACATGCAAAACTCCACTGATAGTTGGGTGGTGCACCATGAGGGGCACTGGTCAGGAATCAAACCCAAGCCTCCCACATGGAAGATGAGGAAACAGACAAATGCTCAGTGCTAGGTGCTAGGACAGACTGCACTTTTGTATCTCCTGTATCCTGAGTGGCTCTGAGTCATCTGCAACTTGGCCCAAAGCAGGAAAGATGATTAGAGCATTATCTGGCTTTCGGCATATGCCACTTCCTGGCCCTTTAAGAAAGTTCATTTGTGTTAACATCTTGCCCCTCAAACCATGGGGAGGGCTGGCAAAAAGTTATCACGGCACCACAGTGATGCCCGAGCTCACAGCGATGGATGAGTGTTCCTTTTCAGTGCTGTGAATTTACCTTGTTGTTGTAGTTACATGCTGTTGACTCAGTTCCAAATCATAGCAACCCTGTACAAGGTTTCCAGGGAGCAGCTAGTGAGTTTGAACTGCTGACCTTGTAGTTCAAACTGACCTTGTGGTCCAGGACATTAGCCCACAGCACCACACCAGGGAATTTAGACAGCAGTGGATTAGATGCCTTTGATCTTGTGAATTTTAGCTTGGCCTTCTTCACTAAGAGCCCTTTGATGCCAGGCTACAAAACTGCTGGAGCAACACTGCCGAATAAACTTTGCAGAAAGGAGCCAGTGTAGCCTGAGTGAGAAGCTGGGGACTTCTGGGCACATCTGTTCATTCTCTGACTCACCATGTGGCCTTGGGTAGGCCAGTTGATGTCCTTGTGCTTCCCTTTCTGCACTTGGCAGTAGAAGACAAGGGCTGCCTTTCTAGGTGGTGTGTGTTTACCCTTTGAAGACTCTGGAGGTCCTTCTAGTGTGGGGAGCCCTCCAGAGAGAGCTGCCTGTCAACCTGAATGATAGGCAGGTGTGAATTGTTCATTCAGGGCCAGGCTCCATACATAGTGACAACAGTAGAGTGCTTGCCCTGCTGAGCTCCTGACCTAGTGGACAGAACCTGTGTCCAGCGTGGCCAAGGTAGCAGCAATAGTGGAAGCAGGAACTCTGGGGTCAGATTGGCCTGGGGCTGAAAGAACAGACTGGGGGCGCGACCTTGGGTCACATCACAGCTCTGCTTCTTATTAGCTCAACTATGACGTGTTTTTTGATACTTGTATGGGCCTCAGTTTTCCTGGAGGATGCTTTCTCTTCCATTCCAGGCTTGAGGGTCCTGTGCAGTAAGAGCAGGGAATGTGGACAGGTATTGCGTGACCCACTTATAGGAGAGGTCCAGAACAGGCAACTGCTGACAGACTGAAGGCTTTCAGTGGTTCCCAGGGCTGGGCAGGAAGGAGCGGGCTCAGGGGCTTCATGGCATGGAAGCCGCCGGATTCCTGGTTAGGGTGATGGGAAAAGTTGCAGATGGATAATGGTGGTGGTTACACATCACTGAATTTACATGTTCAGGTTGAAGTGGTAAATGTTTTATTGCTGTTGTGTGCCCTGAAGTCAATTCCAACTCGTAGCAACGCTCTAGGACAGAGTAGAACTGCCCCCATGCGGTTTTCTAGCCTGTCCTCTGTACAGGAACAGACCGACAGCTTTTACTTCCGCAGAGCTGCTGGTGGGGTCAAACTGCCAACTTTTCGGCTAACAGCCAGACTCTTAACCAGTGTTCCAGCAGGGTTCCTTAGTGTTTGTATTTATCACAATAGAAAGAAAACTCAAGAATCTGCTGGGAACCTGCCCACGCAGTGACTGGAACGTGCCTTAGCAGCTGCCTCCTGGCATTTGAGCGGCACCCTTGTGTCAGTTCGGATGAGGACACTGAGGCCCCAGAACAGACAGCTGGCTGGGGAGGGCCCTGTCTTTGAACTCAGGCCTTCAGTTCAGATCCTGTACGCTTCTAACTGACCTCCTGCTTCTTTGATCCATTTCGCAATCTGTGACAGACTCATGAAGGGACGTGTGTTTTAGAAACTGGAACCTGGGAAGTTGGTCCAGTTACACGTGAACCCCACAGGTTAATGTTCAACGATACAAATGGCCCCTTAGGGAGAGGGATGGGGCTGGAGCAATTTGGGGGGTGGGAGCAGGAGGTCAATCGTGAGTGCTTGGGACTGACTGGAAGTTTGCCTCCTCCCCTCCAAGATGGTGTGGCCCCTGCAAGATCCTGGGGCCGAGGTTAGAGAAGATGGTGGCCAAGCAGCACGGCAAGGTTGTAATGGCCAAGGTGGACATCGACGACCACACAGATCTCGCCATCGAGTATGAGGTACAGATGAGGCAGTGTGGTGGTGGGGGTCTTGGGGACTGTGCATTAGGTAGCCAGTGAGGGGATGTCTTGGGCTATTAGAAAGTTGGTTTGGGGTGTCGGGAACTGTTGGTGAAAATAAGTCAATTTGAGTTCAAAGGTTTTATTGAGCAGAAAGAACTTCACAAACAAGGAGCACCCCTCTGAAGAGATGAGCCCATGAATTACACTTTTGATGAGCTGAGGTCCCGTACAGACTGTTGGGGGACTCTCCAGAGGGAATACGAGAAAATGACTCGTCCCTCACTCGGCGGCCCCTCGGATTTGCTTTTCATTAAGTTTGTGTGTGTGCATGCTATAGGCTGTTATGCGTCACTGATGACTGAAGCGTTCCCCAGAACTGCTGTGGTCAACATGGTTCTGTTTCCTGTAAAAGGTTAGAGGCAAACAGGTGCGTTTTCTTTCCTGTGAGTGTGGCCCATGGCATCAGATCTCTGAGTCTTGGGACACTGAGGCATTCCTTCCTTCCATCATACACTCATCCATCCACACTTTCAGGCCACAGCTGACCAGGAGCCCTACTGTGCTCTGAGTGGTCATGGTTCTGAACAAATCCAGTGGGTCCTCACCCGGAAGCAGCTCCGAGTATCGTGGGAGCCCACAGCAGGTGGATGGGTCGTTTCAGTGTAGGGGGAGCTGCTAATGGAGGGGACAAAGTGGAGGGCTGGGCCCTCTGAGCCAAGCCCCGAAGGATACACACGGGTGGGGTGGGGGTGGGGCTCCACAGAGACGTGACACAGTCCGCGTGCTGAGTTGTGCCTTCACTCACCACACACCACGCTCCTCCCATGCTTGGTGCTGAAGGTAAACCAAAATACCAAAGCCAGCTCACGGTTAGTGAGTCCACTCTGACTCACAGCGCCCCTGCCAGACACAGTAGAAGTCCTCCTTAGGGCTTCGACATGGGATCCTTAAGGGAGCAGACAAGGTCATCTTTCTCCTGAGGAGGCGTGACTGGATTCGGCCCACCCACCTTCCTGCTAGCAGCCCAGTGCTTTACCCACCACGCCACCAGGGCTCCTCAGAGGGTGTGTCAGTGAACAGCACAGACTGCCCTGCTTTCATGGAGCCTGGTGGTTAGATCAGGGATGGACTCGTGTTGGCCTCTAAAGGATGCGACGGACCTAGTGTAGATAGTATTACCTCTGCAGGCCGCTGATGTTTAGTGTGGTTGCGCCAGAGCACCACAGACAGAGCAATTGGGATTTACAGAAGTGGGCATTGGGCAGGATTTGGCCTCACGACAAGTAGTAATAATCAAGAAAGGCCTATGGGTGTGGGTGTTGGCTGTGGATGGGAGACAGTTTCCTTCTAAGGGGGTGGGCTAGGGACATTCTGGCTGAGAAGCTGCTGTTTGGGTGATAAGGGAACAAGCGTCAGCTCCACGGGAAAGAGCGGTTCAGGTAGGAGAGACCGTATATGCATAGGCTGCCAGGTGAGAGGAGCCTGGTTGGGTCAGGGAGCGGGCTTCAAACACCTGGAGCAGGACTGAGATGGGATGCAGAGGTCACTTGGGCTTTGGAGACCAGAGCAGGACTGCAGGACTGAGATGGGATGCAGGAGTCACTTGGGCTTTGGAGACCAGAGCAGGACTGCAGGACTGAGATGGGATGCAGGAGTCACTTGGGCTTTGGAGACCATGGGGAAAGGAGAAACTCACTGTGGCCAAGGGAACCCAAGGGAAGGGTTCTGGGAAGGGATAGTGGCCACAGGGAGGGGCCATATAACAGAGCCCAGGACACACCTGCAGGCCCCATCTGCCTCCTCACAGACACTCCAGTCTGACCCTTGAAGTGTTTTGTTTGAAAAATCCAGCCAGGTATCAATATCGAAAGCACAGAAGATTTCACTTGGAGTCCAGATTTCTGGTTCTCTGAAAACATCTGGGTCTGACCAGAGTGAGCCGTCACCAGCTCACCAGTGTCCCCACCCAGGCTCTGCTGTTAGCTTGCAGAGCTCTGGCTGGGACCCAGCAGGCCTCAGCATGCGGGGGAGGCCCCAAGAGGGTGAGGTCTAGAAGGGGGAGATGAGTGGGGGGCCATTGCTCATCCTCAGGGCCTGAGCAGACGTGCTCACTTTGATGCTGTCCCCACACAGACAGTCTCCCAGGAGGTTAGCTTTAGGCACAGCTCAATCATCCAGCAGTTCAGCCGGTGTTTGTGGAAATCAGTTTCCATCTGTCGGCTTTCTAAATCAGCTTTGGTTGAAGGCGCTCCCCAGCTGGCGGCAGGTCATCCCCATCAGCTGTGGCCTCCCAGCTGAGAGAGGGCCTGTGGTGTGGACGTCCAGACTGAGCTCTCCGTAGACCATCTCAAAGCCAGGTGCCCCTGCTCCACCCGGACCCCGTGGCAAGCCACGGACACGGGGTGGGGAGGGGGAATGGACTGGGCGCCCCGAGCTGGGAATGGAAGGCAGGGTCTCCCCCCAGGTGTAGGGGCACTGCTTCTGCTGCAGGTGATCTGAGGAGAAATGCTGGGCTTGATAGTCCAGGAAGCTTGCTGAGGCTTCATCTCTCACTGATAACTCAGCTAAGGGTGGACTTGGCTCACCATTTGGATGCCCCTTGCTGTCCCTATATCAGCTGTGGGGGTGAGGGTGTGGCCGTCTGGTGTGAGCTTAGGACTGGACTTCTAAGGTCCCCCATGGGGCTGAGGGCAGGCTGGGACATAGGGCTGCTGCTGGCACCACTGGTCACCACATTTGGCAGATGTCACCTTCAGCAGACAGTGGTAACAGGTGGGGATGCAAAGGGTAACTCAGATTCTGATGGTGGTAGGCACAAGAGTGGCAGGGATTCCCAGGACCACCCCCAAGCATTCCAGGTCTCCCTATGATGGTGTAGGGGTGACAAGTTCTGGGATGAAGGTGGAGGTGGGGCTCATACAGAACCTCTGCCTATCCCCCTCTACCACCATTCAGTGTGTGGCCCCAGGTCCAGCCACCTTATGGACTGACGTTACTGCAAAGCTCAGTAAGCTCGGGAGGGGAGTGTGGGGGACCAAGAGGCAGGGAGTGCAGAAAGTCATGGTAGGAAAGGGCTGAACCCACACTCCTGGGCCTGGAGGGAGCTTCCTCCTCTTGGAGGTCAGTGCAGCTCTAGAGGGCCTCTGTCCTCTTCCTTCCTTCACACCTCGTGTCTTAGGGTGTGCCTAGAGAGACATGGCCACTGAGATCCATGGGCAGCCCTGGTCAGGCCCTCCTCTGCTCAAGTCCTTGTCTGAATGGTGCGTGAACTTGGTGGAGAAATTGCTTTCACTAGATTCTCCCCAAAGCTCTGTCCCCTCACCCCCCGCCCCCCCATACTCCCGTTGTCTTGAACTGCTGCCCCTCTAGAGCTGTACTGCCCTCCGAGAGGGGGAAGCTCCCTGCAGGCCTAGGAGTGTGGGTTCAGCCTTTTCCTAGCAGGACTTTCCGCACTCCCTGCCTCTTGGTCCCCCGGCAGGGTTCAACCTTCCCCAACCACTCGGTCCTACCAGCTACTTTTGGGACAGGCAGGAAGGATTGGTGCTGACCACTGCAGCTGGGCTTTGGCCTAGTGTCTGAGTCACGAGTGCACCCTGAAAAATGTTGTTAGGTTGATGAGGGAAGACAAACTTGGAAAAGACACCCATAGCAAGTGTGATCAGTGTCCCTGCATAGTGCATGTAGAAACTTGAATTGGTGGATGTTCCGTTATGTGAATTCTCGATACTAACAGTTTTCAAACAAAAACATAAAAGAATGTTATGTGCTGTCGAGTCACTTCCAACTCATAGCAACCGTCTGTAGGGTTTCCGAGGAGCGACTGGTGAGTTTAAACCACCGATCTTGTGGTTCAGTGCTTTCTCCCACAGAGCCCCACGTGACAGAGTAGAACGGCCCCACAGGGTTTTGTAGACTGCCATTTTTACAGGTCGTTCACCCACAGGGCCACTGGGTGGATTTGAACCATCAACATTTTACTTAGCAACTGAGCGCTGAACCATTGTGCCACCAGCCCCCCCTCCCCCCCAACAAACCCACTGCCATAAATCCGTTCTGGCTCTATAGGGTTTCCAAGACTATCCGTCTTTACGGGAGCAGATGTCCTCATCTTTCTCCCTTGGAACGGGTGGTGGATCTGAACTATCAACCTTAGAGTTCACAGGATCCAATGCTAATTGTAAAGCGCCAGCTGGGCTCCTTCATTTGAAGGCACAGCCACGTGCACATCAGGTTCCTGTGATCTTCTCATTTAAGCACAACCTCTGTTCACAGTGGGGTGACTTGTCCAAGTTTCTTGTTTGACTTTTTTTCTTTTTCCTGGTGTGACGCTGTAGGATAAGCACTTGACCGCAAGGTTGGTTTGAACCACAAGGTTGGCGGTTCAAACCCATCAGTTGCTCCTTGGAAACCCTCTACCGCGTCACTGAGTCGACACTGGATCGCACTTAACAACAGCAACAACATGTAATCTCTTAGACACTCATGTAGTAACTTTGTATGCTGTTTTAAAAAGACAGCGCTCCTCGTGAGGTTATGAAATGCCCAATCATAGGTCATTGAAGTGTGTAGTGTTGTAATCACTCCCTTGTGTTGAAAGCATGTTGTCCAAACCCTGCTTCTCAGCCTTGACTTTGGGTACAAGTGACACAGACCATCATTGAAAAGCAAGTCGTGAATGAGTAGTTTCAGGAAGGGCCCAAGATTCGGCATTTCTAACAAGCTTCCAAGAGATGTGCTGCTGGTGGTTCTGGGCCAGCCTTCTGGGTGGTAGTGGTTATGTGCCGTGGAGTCGGTTCCCACTCATAGCAAGCCTGTACAGGGTTTCCTAGGCTGTAAATCTTTACGGGACTAGAAAGCCTCATCTTTCTCCCGTGGAACAGCTGGTAGTTTCAAATTGCTGACCTTGCAGTTCGCAGCCCGATTTGTAACCACAATGCTGTGGTCCTTTAATGGTTCTGTCAGCCTCAGTGAGGGCCATTCTGCAGCATAGAGTAGCAGGGAACAGGCCTGTCCGCGCCCTTCCATACCTCCCAACACACACAGGCTCACACACACGCCCACTAGCCTTGTCACCGTGTACGTAAACTTTTGTCGTCCTGCTCTCGGGAAAGAGGCTCGTTGCTCCGAAACACATTGATCCTTTGTGAAAAGCGAGTTCTGGGAATCCCTGTCCCCACCACTTTCATTGCCCATGTGTGTTAGGGTAGAACGGTGCTCTGTAGAGTTTCCGGTGGCTGAGTTCAGAAGTTGGTGGCCAGGCCTTTATTCCAGGGCAGACACAAACCTCCAGTCTGCAAATAGGCAGCTGAGTGCGTTATCATTTGCAACCCCGGGCCTCGCGATTGCGGTAAAAGCACTTGGTAAGGTGGGAGCCTCATGCTTGCTGTTATGATGGTGGTATGGAGCAAGATGTCCCTGCTGGCCCCTTCATGGACTCTGAGTCTTAGTCATCTGAAGTAACCCTAAAGGTCACCCTGCCACCCTCCTCTCAGGACACTTGTCCTCATTGCACTTCACAGCCAGTTAGTTGGTCACCCGGCTCCTCTCACAGCTGGCCTGGCCTCCTTGGACAGCTCCCTGTAGCTTGTAGGAGTTGTGTGGTGGTTACTGCTTGCCCCTGTGGGGACCCCAGCTGCGGTGGGCACCCTTTCACCCTGATGCCTGGGTGTCTAGTGAGGGCTGAGCCATGTCTACAGGGGACGGGGGTTTCTAAGTACCCCCTATGTCCAGAAGCTCTGAGGAGACATTTGGCATTTCTCATTTGGATGGGAAACCCCTTCAGGGGCCCCTGCGAGTTCTAGGCCCATGGTCACTTGATTCCTCATGCTGGGTCAGCCATCAAAGCCAAGTCCCAACTCTGCCACTTAACTTGGAAGCAGCCTTGGTGCCTCCGTCCTCCGATCTGTCACGTGGCCCTGCTTTGGCTGAGAATCAGCATGATGCAGTTGCTTGGTGCTGTGTGTACGGCAGCCGGGGTGACATCCGTCTTTTCCTGGCGCTGCTTCTGTTATGAGCTGACGACGATGAGGCTACCAGGCACCTGGCCCCGTGCCTGTGGGAGCTGGGGCTGTGCCTCTCCCCTGGTGGGTCCCTAATTGCGCTCACAGCAATGAAACCACCTGACAGGGATGCTGAGCTCACGGGGGACACTGCCCACACCTGACCTGAGTCAGGGGAACTGAGCTCACTTCCCTTTGCAGCGGGCTGGAACCCTCTGCCCCCGGCTCCAGAAGGTGCTGAGAACTGTGTATTGCATTTTGGGAATCCACACTCAAGGTCAGCTCAGTCATCTCCTAGCTAGTCCCAGCCCAGCGTCCACATCCACTACCCAGATTCCTCACAGAATCCTCTTGGTAGGTCGTAATGACTAGCCCTTGGTTGGCATGGAAACGCATCGGTCACACGTCTGCTGTCCACTCTGCACTGTGGTTCACGGTGTACAGATGTGGGCATGCATGTAAAAAGTGTCGTCATGATGGGACATAAGTTGCATTGAGGAAAACTCAGGTGTCTGAGTTTTGAGTCTTGGCAAGCTTTGAGTCCTCTGAAAGAAACAACCACACTCGTGAAAACTACCAGACCACTTGCATAATGAAATGAAGTTTTTATTTTAATTAAAGAAAGAGGACGGAGTGGTGTCCCCAAAGTTGTTAGCTTTGTGCTCAGTTGAGAAGGGCCGGATGAGGCTCTTCGATGATCACTAGAGGGCGCAAGAGACCTAGGCACCGTGGAGGCACTGGTGCACCCACAGACTGGGCAAGGCTCACGTCTGAGTGACAAGGACAGGTGTCAGTCTGCCAGCTGGCACACAACCCTGAGAAAGTGTCAGCCGTCACTACCCCAGCCCGGAACAGGGCCCAGCCATCTCACCTGTAAGTAGACATAGGACCCTAAACTGAGGTCAGGCCTGGCCTGTGCTGCTCCCCCTTTTTACTGACGGACAGTTGAACATTTTGAATCTGCCGTCTGACTTCCCCAGAGCTGGTGTGTTTTTATGTGGCAGCTGTAGTTAAGCCACAGTGTGTCTTGTTGCTCAGAGAGGAATAGCAGAGGAGCTGGGAGGGGCCTTTCCCACTTGTCCCCAGCCCCTCAGAAGGAAGCAGGTGCCGCCTGAGACCTGTCCCCATGTGGCTCCCGTGGGGGTAGGCCCTGTAGTAGGACACTTCCTGCCATCCTCACCATGTGCGGGGCGCTGCACTGGTGCCCTCCGACAGAAGGAAGGGACACCAGATGCAGGCGTCCCATGTGAGTCAGAGTAGAAGTGTGCGCCTTAGGGATGTTTGGTTGGAAGCTAAGCCAAGGGTTACAGATGTGTAAAATGGGAGAGCTCCTCGTTCCCTGCTCTGCACTTTGCGTGGCTGTGGGGACAGGTGTTCTGGGCGCACACCTGTCCATTTCTGTTGTAGTCAGTTTAAACATACTCAATAGGGAACTGCGGGCCGTGGTCTCTCGGGGATGCTCCACAGGCCCAGGCATGGGTGGGGCTCCTTCTTCCCTGAAGGACTGAGTGCCCATATGGGGATGTTGGGGAGGAGCGGAGTGACCCGTGAGGAGTCCTGTCTCCAGATAGGTGCCCCTCAGGCTGAGCCTCGGCCGCCCCCTGTAATGGGGAGGACGGTGAGGTGGCACTACCCAAGGGATCCCTGGTGGCTCTGTTGTGCAGATGACGACACTGAGACCTTAGAGTAATGGCAGGATCGCCTGGTCTGGGGCTCTAGTGCCCGGGTGCCTCATTGCTTTGTGCTGTGTGCACACCCTTATGGAAGAAGACCCTCCCACACGCCCCCCCAGCTAATGAGCAGTCTCCCCTGAGCCCCAGCTGCTGCTGCCCAGGTTATTTTCATCTCTCCCCTCACTGCAGCCAAACCACTGGGCCAGTGAGTCAGCTGTGTGGTCGGGGAGGAAGGGAACTGCTGAAAGAATCACCCCTGATGGGAGAGCCTCTCCCGTGACTTGGGGCTGACTCAGCCTTGGACAGGCGACCCCCACTACTCCCCTACCAGAGGCTCAGGAATGGCGGCCAGGGTGGGTTCTCCAAGCAGGTGAGCCGCCTCCCTTGTCTCCCTCCACCCAGGTGTCTGCTGTGCCCACCGTGCTGGCCATCAAGAATGGGGACGTGGTGGACAAGTTTGTGGGCCTCAAGGATGAGGACCAGCTGGAAGCCTTCCTGAAGAAGCTGATTGGCTGACGAGCAGGGACATGTTCTGATAGTCCTTGCCCACCTGGGACACCGTGTTCCTGGGGAGCCCCAGTAGAATGCCCAGCCCTTCCGGGGTGCCCTTCCTGCCAGCCTTCACTATCTGGCCCACAGGGACCTGTGTTTGGGAGACCATGTTGGCCTCCTTCCAGGCCTGGAGTAGCCCTCTCTCGGGGCCCGAACACCTTGGTCCTTGCCTCCTTGGTCCTTACTGATCTGAGGTCCTGACTCCTCTGCCTTCTGCCTCTCCCCCTCCTGCTTCTGCTGCTTTGTGAAAAGTAAAAAGGAGCCCACCAAGTGAGAGTGATCCATGCTTCTCCCCTTTCAGTAGGTCTTTCATAAAGCACTTTCTGAGCCCTTCTGCTGAATGCTGTCAAGAAGAGACTCGGGCTCCCCCACCCCACCCCGCAGGGCTAAGAGCAAGCCCCAGGCTAGAGGACCTGCAGACTCTTGATTCTGGAAGGTTCTAAACGCCTCCTTTGCTCCCTGTTTGCTGTCCCTGTGCGTCTCTGAGCAGGCAGCTGAACTGTGAACAAATCAGACCAATAAAACAAAGGTTTGCACTGTTTCCAGCTTCTGTCCAGCGTCTGGGCAGCCAGAGCTCCTGGGACTCTCTCTCGGACAGGGCTGCTGGCCAGCTTCTGCCTTTTACTTCTGCCACCACCTTCCCTGTGGCCAGCCCCTCCTAGCTGCTGGAAGGCATGAGCATGTCTTCCCCACTCTGCAGATGAGGACCTGGGGCTCACCTCACACACTTGGGGATGCCGCTGAAGCCTGGGCTCTGGACAGCTGACCCTGTGATCTCCCTTTGTCCTGATGTCCCAAGCCATCTGTCCTTCCTGGGGGCCTTCTCACTTCTGGTTCCTTCACCTTCTCCCTGGGAGCCTTGGGTTACAGTGGGTCCTGTTCCTGCCAAGCTGCCCGGGCTCCCCTGGGGCTGCTGTACATGGTGTGGGAGGTCCGGTGGGCCTGCACCAAGAGCCTGGAGCTGTGAGTCACGTGAGTTGAGACAGCCAGCACAGACAAAGCATTTCCTGGGCTCACGCCTGCTCTAATCCCAGCAACCCCCGAGCCTTGCCGTTTCACACCAAGAAGCCAGCTCAGGGGCCCCTGGCCCTACCCGCACTGCCGTGTAACCTGCCGTGTCTGGCCTAGTTTGTGGCAGGCCGGCCAGGCAGGGGTGTCCACTGGGTTCACAAAGATCAGACACACAGCTGGATGGGGTGGAGTCGGGCTGAAGCCGGCACCCCCAACTCCCCAGCCTCTTCCACCCTTACCTCTGCACCCACCACCGCTCCTTAAAAGGTGCCTTCTGCCAAGCTTTCCACACAAATGAGCTCATCCAATTCCTTGCCTGTGAGGCAAGCTTTATTTTCATAGAGCAAGTGCAGAAACGGGTTCAGAGACCAACTTGCCCAAGGTCAGGTCTAAAAAGTGACAGTGCCAGGTGTGAGCCCAGGTGGGCGTCTGACCTCTCTGCTCCCGGTGTGGAGGAGGGCTGGCAGAGGCCTGCAGGGCCCGGCCCCAGCTCCTGCACCTTAAAAGGTGTGTGTGGTGCTGCTCGCTCGCTGGCCCAGTTGGCAGCTCTGCCTGGGGCTGTTGGAGGCCCTGAGTCACTGACCGTGAGCACAGGCCCTCCTGGTGTGTGCCCGTTTGACTAATCCAGTGCTGACCTCACCTGGAATGCTGCGGGCTCGGCCCCTTCAGCTTGGTCCCTCCAGGTGCCTTTCTGACTCCGGGCCTGTGGAGCAGGGGTAGCCAGTACAGCTGCCAGAGCCCAGGGCCTTGTGGGGACGGAAGATCTGACCCCCCAGGAAGCACAAATAGCCCCTGAGGGCACCCTGGAGACGGAACAGGGCCACAGCAGGTTCCCTTCCAGGTTTCTCATCTTCCCGAAGGCAGTGGAGCCCCTGAGAGAGCATTCCAAACAGGATCACAGGATCGGCCCCTTACCAAAGAGCGTCATCGAGGTGTCTAGGAGCGTCTGGGGAACACACTAGGGGACAGCTAACACTGGCCCCTTTCAAACATACAGAAGGGAAGGGGAACACCCGACCCTGAGACCCCTGTTCCCTAAGGTCCCTGAGGCTGGGAGATGAAGCTCACGTCCCAGCATGAGGTGGAGGAACCTCAGGCCCCCTTACACAATGGAGGAGTTGGAACAGAGGGCCGGGGTGCGACATAAAGGTACCCCGACTTCAGGCAGCCCTAAAGTGAGACCAAGCCATGACCTCTCATGGGTTTCAGAGGTGTCTGAGGGTCAGCCTGTCGGGTCAGGAGGGTGCTGACAGTGCTGGGTCCCAGGCCCTTCCCACTAAGCCCTGCCCAGGGTGAGGCTCTGGGGATTGTTCTGGCCCTGCCCCAACTTCTAGGGAAAGGGAAGGTTCTGACCCAGCTATCAGGAGCCCCTACCCTGTGCATTGCGGACTGGGAAGGACCCTGAAACAATGTGGGAGTTGTGTGGGCAGGATGCCGCCGGACAAACAGGGCTTCCAGGCAAGCTGCCACAGCCCTTCCGTACTGCCTGGAAAACGGTGCGGGCGTGACCTTGTATTGCCGTCCCCAGAGCTACCCAGGCCTCCACACCAGAGCCCCTCTACAGGGGTGTAAGTAGAGCAGGAAGAATCAGACTTGAATTTAAATTCTTTGTCACCTACTAGCTGTGTCACCTTGGACAAGTGGCTTCACCATTGTAAGGTTCAGTTGTCACCTCAGTAAAATGGGGCTAGTGTATGTGTTAAGTGTGTCGTCTCACTGAGTCTTTAACACCCCAAAGAGTTATAGACTATTGCCCATAAGTACCGTTTTACAGATGAGGCAGCTGAGACCCAGAGAGCCCAGTAACTTGGCATTCCTGGGTGTCAGAGCTTAGATTAAAATCCTTCTTGCAGTCCAAAGTTTCTTAGCTGTACCTGCTTTCCCTTTACGGCAGGGATTTTCACCATTTTAAGTCTCGGACCATCTGCAAGTGGTCTGTTGTAACATGTTGAGCACTGGATTGCTAGCTACAAAGTCAGTGGTTCAAATTGATGAGCCACTCAGAAACCCTATACAGGGTCTCTGAGTAAGAACTGACTCCACGGCACTTAAAAACTGAAATGACCCTGTATAGGGTTTATGAGGAGCAGCTGATGGGTTTGAACCGCCAACTCTGCTGTTGACAATCCAATATTTATTCTATAGCACTACACTAGGACTCCATTGTTGTTGTTAAGTGCTGTCGAGTCGGTTCCGACTCATAGCGACCCTGTATAGAGTTTCCGAGGAGCAGCTGGTGAGTTTGAACCGCTGACACTATCTACAAATCAGGGCTAATAGCAATTGCTAATACTGACGTCTTCCTGTGGCTTAAATGGGGGTGGGAGATAGAAGCACTTCAGTCCTTGGAGGGTGTTCAAGAAGCTTTGTTTTCCTCTAACCCCCCCAGCTCCACAGTCTGAGCCACCTTTTTAAACAGGAAACACCAGTGGCCAGAGATCATACGAGCTGCCCTGCCCGTATGAGGGGCCGTGGCTGTACCCCTGTGGGGTTAGCAGGGCCTGGAGTCCTGGCCCTGACCCTGTCACCTCCATCCCTGCTCCAGAGCATCCAGGCTCCTATGGCTGGGGCAGCCCCGGGGAGCCAGAGGTGATGAGCTCACCCTGGGAGAATGCCCCTGGAATTCACCCAGACTGCGCTCCTTCCCGCCTCCCAGAGCACAGCTAGGCGCCCATGCTACTCAGCTATTTATTCACTGGAGATGAGCCATGACCCCGAGGCAAGTGGCTTCTGGTGTCTGGTCAGCTGCCTCTTGTGGGTTCCCAGAACGGAGGCCATGATGCCAGGTGCCTCACCGTATTTTCTCTGAGCAAACCCACCTGAGGTAGGAACTGTTCTTCCGTTTCACATTATGAGGAAAATGAGGTACTGTGCCCAAGGCCACACCCTGGCAAATAGCCTGGCCCAGCCCCCTGCTCCTCCCTGGCCACACTACTGCTACCTCCAGAAGGGCCAAAGGGGACCCTGTTTTTCCTACCAGAAGTGGGGACTTTGAGCCTCTCTCTTTGATCCCTTGTTCCCACCCCACATGGGGCAGGACATTCCCTTTACTTGGGATCTACTCCTAAAGTCAGAATGAGTTCAAACACTGTGACCTCACCCCTTACCCTAAGCCCTACAAGCGTGGCTACGTGCCTGGTGGGCACTGCCCGGTGCTGGGAACTGGACAGTCTACACTCCCTCGTGGAGCAGCAAATGCATCCTAGTTACAATCAGGGCTTAGAACCGGTTCGTTCCAGTTCAACCCCCTCCTGAGCATCTGCATTTTCATTTTCACCCTGGACGTACTGAATCCCGCTGTTCAGTGTAAGGCGATCTTAAGGGATTCTTACAGATCTTCAGGTATAGACAAAAGAATGCCCTGAGAATCTTGACAAAATGTAGTTTCTGATTCAGTATAGGAGAGGTCAGAAAATATTGCTTACAAAATCATTGTTAAATGCCATGGAGTAGGTTCTGACTTACAGCGCCCCTGTATAGGATTTCCAAGGAGCAGCTAGTGAGTTTGAGCCTCTGACTGTGAGATTAAAATGACCTTGTGACCCAGTGCTTATCCTACAGCATCACACGAGAACTACAAAATCCTAGAAACCTTTCTGAAACAAAAACCATCAAAATGTGACGTTACTGTTTCTTGACATATCTAGGTCTATAGACTTCTGCAGGTGGTGTTTTCTGTCTTCTTGCTATAGCCTCAGGAGCCCATGCAGGGTCAGAAGCAAGTGAGCGGCACTTAGTAACATTAACAACCCTTCCCCAAAGACTTCTGCACTCTGATTTACACCACATCAAAATAGCAGTTTGGTCAAGGGACTCAAATCATGTTCCTTTTCAGTGGTCTTTGAGTTTGGGGGAGCAATAAGAAGCCTGAAGGGACAAGTTCAGGGCTATAAGGTAGGTGGAGGGGGTTTCCCAGCAAAATTCTGGTAGAACAGCCCTTAGAACCCCAGAAGAATGAGCAGCTACACGGTCATGATGGAAAAAAATATTACTT